GAGGCACAGGCAGCAGCAGCAGATCCCGGCGCTCCCGCAGCTCCTCCAGCTTTTCCAGACGGGTCTGATGTTCCTCCAGGGCCTCCCTCCTCCTCCTCTCAGAGTGCCCAGCCAGCTCCTGGTGCAGGTTCACAAAGAAATCTGCCAGGCATCATAGAATCATGGAATCAATTGGGTTGGAAAAGACCTTCAAGCTCATCAAGTCCAACCCTTCCCAAGCACTGCCAAGGCCACCACTAACCCAGGGCACTGAGGCCTTGGCTACACGGTGTGTGAACGCTTGCAGGGATGGTGGCTCCAGCCATGCCCTGGGCAGCCTGTTCCAATGCCTGAGCACCCTCTGGGCAAGGAATGTTCCTCAGCTCCATCTAAACCTGCCCTGGAGCAGCTTGTCCTATCACTTGTTACTCGGGAGGAGACTGACCCTTCCCCACTCCATCTTCCTTTCATGTAGAATGGAGGGAGGGAGAATTCCAGGAGATCTGATGGAGCTTCTTGCCACTCCTGTGACCCCTGGGACAGAGCCTGCTTAACCCCCAAGCCTGCAACGTGTCCTGCTTCAGCCTGAGCACCTTTGCCTGCAGTGAAAGGGCTGCTTGGCACAGAAAGCAACTCATCATCTTCATCTTCACTGCTGCAGGAGCCTCCTTCCTCTTCCTCCTCATCCACACTGCCATGGACAGGCTGAGCATCCAGCTGCAGGAGGTGGGGCAGAGCACCCACCACCAGCTCCCTGCAAGCACCAAAGCAAGAGCAAATACAAAGGCTGTATGTGATATGGGGGGGAGGATGTACCCCACTGGGGATCTCCCCTGGCTTGGGGACTGGCTCTCCCCCTTGCAGCCTCCCCTGACCCACCTGTATCCCTGCTGGTGGGTGCATTTGTTTCCTGTTAGGTCGAGGAGACGGAGGCTGTGGGGCAGCTCAGCTGCAGAGGTCAAAGGGAAGACAGAAAGGGGCTGAGATGGAAGCTGGGACCCCCCCCTCCACCAAACCTCCACATTCCCCAGCTCCCAGAAGCAACAGCCGCTGCCTCAGTCGGGGAAACTGAGGCAGGGAGGGCAGGAATGTGCATTGCACACACTCCCTTGTGAGCACTGAGGGATTTCCCTTCCCCACCCCTGTGTCAAGCAGAGGGCCTGGTGCCACAACAGCAGCACTACGGAGGAAGGAGGGAGGTCTTATCCCTCTCTCCCTCTCTCTTCTGCCAAAAATCACCCAAGGGAGGAGCTGAAAGTCAGTTCAGACCTGGCCATAGGGCTGCTCTGGTGTGGGGCCAGCCCCAGGGGGGCTTTGCTGACTGGGACCCGAGGGCAGAGCCCAGACCAAGGGCCTGCTGCCATTCCCTGGTACCCAAGGCACCTCTCAGGCAGACCCAGGCTACATCCAGACCCATTCCTGCCTCCCACCTGGGTCCAGCGTCTGGATCCGGTTGTGGGACAGGTCCAGGAAGCGCAGGTGCTGCAGGGGCTGCAGGTTCTCCACTCTGCGGATGCGGTTTCCAGCCAGGCACAGGAACCTGCAGAGCACAGGGAGGGAGAGGGGTGAGGTGGGGGGGACACCACAGCCCCCGGGGCAGAGCCAGCGGCTCCAGGCTGTCGATTGGGATTAAAACTGGGACCCCCCTGGCTCTGCCAAGGGAAGGAGGGATTCCTGCTCTGCTCTGAGCACGGAAAGCCATCTCCTCGGGGGCAGGAGCTGCCCGTACCGCAGGTTGGGGAAGCAGCTCAGGTTCTCGATCTTCTCAATTTGGTTCTGGGAGGGGAGAAAACAAAGAAACGTGGTTTTCTACTGCATGAAAAATCGGCCTTTGGGAGCTCCAGCCTCACTGGGGCA